GCAGGATTTCACCTGGAGACTGAACGTCCTCAGTTCCTGATACACCTTTGGCCCAAGCATCTTCAAGAGCTAGCATAACAGCTTGTTTTATATGCTCATCATGATGCAGAAGGATAAGTTTGTTGCCTAGCAGTCCACCACTACCAGGAGCAATACAGCAAACTCTAGATTTACCTCTGTTTTCATCAGATATTGCCTCCTTTGCAAAGAACCAAGTAGATTTGTCAGAATGCGTTGCTAAATCACTACTTGTAATCAGGTTGTAGCCTAGATTGTACATTTCCTCTAGGAGACGTATGGCAAAAAACTTTCCAAGAGTTGCTCTTTTTTTACCCTTCCGATGAACAAAAGTAAACTTATCCCCAACATGCATCTTTACAGTACCATAATAATCTTTGAGTTGTCCTCGAGTGGATCCATATTTGGATTCTATTTCCTGATCAAGTATAACAAGCATTTCCCTCACCTCCGGAGTCACATTCATGACTCTTATCTTTGAGTTGAAACATATTGAGATTGCAATATAGGAATCAGGGATTGCGGTCACAGATAACTTGGATGATGCTTTGTTGCCCATGTTACCTAAAAATAAACCGATTTTGACACCATTTGTTGTCAAATTGTCCAAATTTGGGAAATTAAGTTCTTATTTCTTGGGCAGTTTTGTATTTTGTCATACTGGTAAAAAACCATAACACCATTCAACCCAGCCAAAACGTTTTCAATGGTATGTCTCTCGCGGTTTTTGCGGAAAGTTAATGTCGTGGTGCCGGTAAATGGAATGGGTCCTACTTTGTTGGTCAACTGCTATGTCAGAATCAAGTTTCACAGAAACTTCAGGCTGAACCCCCCTCCCCATTAATTGATATCCTGAGAAAAGATATTTCAAATTAATTTTATTATTCTATCTCAGATCCATCATGATATTAGTTGATAGTCCAACCTTTAAAGATCGCAGAGAGGCCAGATTTTAATTATGAATCGAGCGCTCATAATATGTTGGTTTTGAAAACACCCCGAATCTCGTATTTTAGGTGTATTTTTCAATAGGGGCCCGTGGCTCGTGAAAATTGTATTTTACGAGTTATTTAATGCTTTCACCTCCTGTATCCTAATAAGATAATTCGCTTTACTTCCTACGAAGTTACAGTTGTTGGGAGGGACTCTCTCTGAACTACTGAAATCTCATTCCCCCTGTGAGATATACTGCAAGCAGTGCTCCCTATAATAATGACTAATGTTTTACAGCATCTTTTAGAAAAGTAGTGCGATTATATTGCACCGAATATGCTTTCGGTTGCTCTCAAAACAGTGCAATTAGTTTTGTAATCGCACTCCCTGAAAATAAAAACCAGTGCGATTATGAAAAAATAAGTGGCCGTCAAATAGGTGGTATTATATACGCTAATATTTAATTGTATATTTAAACAAATTGCATACTCGTTTTTAGTGTCTCAGTGGGGTAGTATAAAATGAGTAAATAACCGAGACCTACTCAGTGGTCAGACTGTAAGGACAATCATGAATCAAATTGAAAAGGTTGAATAGACTAATAGAAGAAATATATTTGCTTGGCTGCAACTTACCAATTATAAAGCTAAATAATGTTGGTTTTGTATAACTTATCCGGATGGTTAGGTTTAGGCTTATGTTTAGGATTAGGTACTACAATAGACTATTTTTAACAAAAGATGGTAAATTCCCTAAAAGGAATAATAACGCCCGACCTGTCCGAGAGATAAACGTGCCATGATAGATGCTGAGCTGACTGATAGATAAAGAAATTAGTTGATTATCAATAATTTTGACCCTGGACTCCGTGACCGACTAATCTGACTTGTTGATTGAATTACTGTACATTTCTATTGCTAAATTTAGAATCTAATGCTGACATGTAACTTGTGATATCACGTGACGTCATCACAATATCACGTGACGTCATCACAATATCACGTGACGTCATCATGATCCTCTCCTTACTGATATAAAGTAGAAAGTGTTAGGACAAGAGTTGTGTTCATAAATGTGTTCAAGTGTCGTATGGTGTGCAGTATTAGCCACCTTTATCATAGTACGCATGACCAACAATGAATGTATCTGGTTAGATCGTGAACGTACACTGTGCTAGGTTGGGAGCAAACTCATTTTTGGATCTGGTAGTATTTGGACGTGCTTGTGGTGTGCTTGTAACGTGCTTGTGCTCACAAAATAAAGGAAGATTATGGGAGCTGCTCAAGCTGAACTCAAAGACAACTCCTTATATGGGCATCACGTGTCACTACAAGGACAGTGCTGGTCAGTGAGCCATCTTCTTCAGTTTAAACAAACACGTTAAGTATTTCTTATTACCGTAGGTGGTGTTATTTGGTATTTGCACTATGCTTTGAGACAGCTTTACACGCATCAATCATATCTTGGATGGAAATGAGACATGAACAAATAATAAAAGAATCTTGCCACACATCATGCCAGATCTACTACGATACAGAAAGTAGTAGTTTTGGTTTGTTAGAACATTATCATTCGGAACTCTTTAAAGTCATCCTTTCAGTTTCACCACATATGTATAGCAATGTTTCATTTCGTGTTATCCAGCCATCTTAGATCAATTCATACCAATTATCAGTTTTGCTGCCAATATACTACGGCCAGTACTGCCTGTTGTTGAAATTAAGTTCACATTATCTTTTAATACTTATATTTATACATAACCATTTCTATCTCCTAATCCCACCCTCTGGGAAGCTGCAGGGACAAAAGGATTTCGCGGTCATTTTGGCCAAAAATCGCGATACCGCGAATTACATTTCGCGGTATATTAGACTATACATAAAAATTTGTCGCAAATAATGGGAAAAATCGCGATTCCGTACATGCCGCGATTTCCTTTTGTCCTTGGGAAGCTGGGATATCTCCTGGGGCACTATTTTTAGGGGTATCTATTTTTCAATCCATTTCCTGAATCATCACACATTCTAGAACCATTTCACTTTTTTTCCATTCACGGACAGTCCCCAGTTCACACATTTGAGGGCAAGTTTGAAATAATATTAGACCCTATATAATCATTGTTCTGATCATGAGGTTACCTTTTTTTTAAGCAGCCACTCTACAGGTTTTTGTATTATGTTACAATTTCGTAATGTTCATGTAAGGCGTTTGTATTTGTTATTCTGTATTATTCTGACTTACCTTAAGAACGACAAATTTAGTCTACCATAAATTTAGTCAAACTTTTGACTTAAATTGTTGTAAACCAAATTTCATGAGACAAAATTTTTCGGCGACTTATTTTATAGGAGACCAAAATTTCAGTAGAGCATATATGACATGAATATTGAATATTGTTAAGCTTACATTGTTTATAGGGCTTTATAATTAATATAATGACATCACCGTTCCTACTGCACTAAACCGTACCAAATTCTTATTGCACTTAAAAGGTTAGAGCTCCTCTTGGACATTATATTTTTAATCTGATCCATCCCAATCCATGCTCTGTTGAAACGGCTGAAGGATCATATCGACATAAACTAAGTCGTACCGACAAAAATGGTAAAGTCGAAAAAGGTGAAAAAGAAACTGACAGTGTACTGAAGAACTTAGTGATACAGTGTCACAAACTCTGGATCTGATGTTATTTAAATTCCTGAGTAATGCATTGCGGCTTAATCTGTAATGCTCAAACGGGGTAGACTAAGTTTGTCGTTCTTAAGGTAAATGGAATGGAAAATGGTCTCAAAAAGTCGAAATTGTGACTAAAATTGTTGCAGACTAAAGATTTACGAAATTTGTGACTAAAATTATGGTGACCAAAATTATGGTAACCAAATTTATTTTGAAGCAAATTTATTGGCCCTAAGGTATGTGGTATTTTATATGAAGTCTGTATTGCTTTTTTATGTTGGATTGCAGTACCACAAATGTTCTTAAATTGTTAAATTGTGAACAACCAGTGAATTGGTGTTCTGCAGCGAGTTGCACGGCGCTGTGTCATCCTTAGAGGTACTCTTTTTTAAAGCATCTTTCATGTCTTCATTTTGGACCTCATCTGTTTTATTCTTTTTCATTTGTTTAAGTTACTTATAGAACGTTTTCCTAACTGCTCTTCTTTTGGAGATTGTTCACGTGTCTAGTTCACTAACAGTCAGTCCTTGTTTTATTCCATTTTCACAATTTCATGTTGACTGCTACCACATGACACCATTTACCTCGAGGTGGCTTTACTAATTTTGTAGCAATTATCCTCCAAAAGTCTTGAAAATTAGAATTAAAATTATAATTCAATTTAAACAGCAATACAATAACAATAAAAATAATTTGAAGAAGCTTCAATATGCTGTGCAGGACATTCAAATCGGTAAAAAGAAAATACTTGATAAAATAAAAATGTAAGTCAAAGGGGGATTCTCACATGTCAAGTAATCACATTTGGGCCAATTATTAACCCTCTCCCCTACGTATACAGTTTTACACATAGCTATTGTGTGAAAATTATACTAGCGTAATCATAAAACACTCTCTCCCCTCAGTGATAACACGTGAACGACCCCTTACAAATTTTACAGAATCTTAAGCTACAACTAGGTACATAAAATAATGTTTATACAAATTTCAGAATTGTAAATATTTACGAAAAAATGCTTTAAAAGATAAAAGAAAAATATGAAAGAAAAAGAGAGCCCTTTTGAGATGGAGCATGATTGACAGATGGTCTGGGACAAAGATGGCCTCCCAGCACAGTTCCCCCAACACATCGGCGGAGAGAGCCGATATTATAGTCTGGTCGGACACAGGAAAGATTGTGATTTAAGTAGAGTTGATGGTTGGCAATGAGAGTAACCAAGTAGGAACATGCGCGTTATAACAAAGAGCTTATTCCTGGGCTTTATGGTGGAAAGCTCAGCTTTTTCCGTTAGAGGTTGGGTGTATAGGCTTCTGGCATCATACCTTACCAGCCATATTTTGGTGTGACTAAGAGAGTGAAGAAAGCAGTGTCCTCAAGTGTTCCTATGCAATTTAGTTAGCAAGAAAAAAAAGAAGTGGAGTCCCTGTTACAACATCCTACAAAGACCCACGGTTCTACCATCAACTGAGTGGGCTGACTGTTGGCCCTTGAAACATATTTAAAGCTACAATTGAAATCTCAATACATTTTCATAAAATAGATGCTATGAACATCTATCGGATGTCTATCTTGGTTTTCGCCAAAAATTTTTGCCGAAATATCTCCTGAAATGGATACATACCAGCCATGTTGGGCCGCAACCGCCATCATTTTGCCCAATACAGCTCTCATGTGAAAGCAGTTAGCACCCTTGGAAAAAGTATTAGTAATCCAGGGCTTTCCCTCAACGTTTATTTCTAGGTTCGAGTCTGGTAAATTTACCTCCTTTTGAACACCAAACGGATAGAACTGGTAGATACAATCCCTCAATGGGACACCAACATCGATGGGGAAATCAAGTAACCGAAGCGTATTCAAGTAGGTCAATGACAAGCAAGCATATTTACAGTTCATTGGGAATGGATCTTTCCGAAAGAGAATAGAGGCTTTGTCAATCAAGCTACGGTACATGTCAATTGCGTATAGAGGAGTGTATCCACCTTTCCCAAAAACTTCCATAATCCTTGAAATACTTCTTCGTGCAACAATGGCTTCACTATCGGAGGAACACCAAGGAGTTCCATGTATTTTTATCTCATGGCTACCGTAATAATCCAGCTTTTCTTGGATAGAAAGACCAGCAGCAGTAATAGCCGTCTCCAAAGGCTCAAGAAGGTGGTTGCAGTTAATTAACCTCAACCTGTCCGTTTTAGCCAGGGACAGCATACAGAAATCATTTGGATGAGCAGTAAAAGTTGGATCGTATATGAAGAAGAAGCAGTCTGCAGTGTCTTTCAGATTAGTTGAAGTGATAAGTCTCCAGTTTACCTCACCCATCCTTCCCACTATACTGCAAACTGCTTTACGAGTATTTATTCCGTCCTCATTAGTCGAACCCCAGGTGCCTTTCAAAGTAATCTCATGCAGGATTTCGCCTGAAGACTGAACGTCCTTAGTTCCTGATACACCTTTGGCCCAAGCATCTTCAAGAGCTAGCATAACAGCTTGTTTTATATGCTCATCATGATGCAGAAGGACAAGTTTGTTGCCTCGCAGTCCACCACCAGGAGCAATACAGCAAACTCTAGATTTACCTCTGTTTTCATCAGATATTGCCTCCTTTGCAAAGAACCAAGTAGATTTGTCAGAATACATTGCTAAATCACTACTTGTAATCAGGTTATAGCATAGATTGTACATTTCCTCTAGGACACGTATGGCAAAAAACTTTCCGAGAGTAGCTCTTTTTTTACCCTTCCGAGGAACAAAAGTAAACTTATCCCCAACATGCATCTTTACAGTACCATAGTAATCTATGAGACGTCCTCGAGTGGATCCATATTTAGCCTCTATTTCCTGATCAAGTATAACAAGCATTTCTCTCACCTCCGGAGTCACATTCATGACTCTTATCTTTGAGTTGAAACATATTGAGATTGCAATATAGGAATCAGGGATTGCGGTCACAGATAACTTGGATGATTCGTTGTTGCCCATGTTACCTAAAAATAAATCGATTTTGACTTTTTGACACCACTTTGTTGAGTTGTTGGTCCAAATTTGGGAAAAGTTCTTATTTCTTAGTTTTGTAATCGCACTCCCATAAAATAAAAACCAGTGCGATTATAAAAAAAAATAAGTGGCTGTCAAATAGGTCAAATAGGTCAAATAGGTCAAAAGTGGTGTTATATACACCAATATTTATTATTTGATTGTATATTTAAACAAATTGCATACTCGTTTTTAGTGTCTCAGTGGGGTAGAATAAAATGAGTAAATAGTCAAGACCTACTGAGACTGTAACGACAATCAAATTGAAAAGGTTGAATAGAAGAAATATATTTGCTTGGCTGCAACTTGACAATCAAAACTAAAGAATGTTGGCTTTGTTTAACTTAAGATTATTTTTAACAAAAGATGGTTAATTCCCTAAAAGGAATAAGAACGATCATGCCCGACCTGTCCGAGAGATAAACGTGTCATGACAGATGCTGAGCTTAATAATAGATAAAGAAATTAGTTGATTATCAATAATTTTGACCCAGGACTCTGTGACCGACTAATCTGACTTATATTATTATCTAACGTACACAGTGCCAACAGAGCTAGGTTAGGAGCAAACTCATTGTTGGATCTGGTAGTATTTGGACATGCTTACTTGTGCTTGTGTGCTTGTGTGCTTGTGACGTGCTTGTGTGCTGGTGTGCTTGTGGTGTGCTTGTGGTGTGCTTGTGACGTGCTTGTGCTAACAAAATAAAGGAAGATTACACCTCGGGAGCTGCTGAAGCTGAACTCAAGGACAACTCCTTATATGGGCATCACGTGTCACTACAAGGACAGTGCTGGTCAGTGAGCCATCTTCTTCAGTTTAAACAAACACGTTAAGTATTTCTTATTCGTTTAAGAAGTGGGGTCAGTGCAACAGGCACTATGCTTTGAGACAGCTTTATGCGCATCAATCATATCTTCTTATCTTGGATGGAAATGAGACATGAACAAATAATATTAATAAAAGAATCTTGCAATGGTAACGGACAGAAGTAAATAAGCACTGACGACATATATTCAAGCCCATCTACCTCGTTCTCCAAAATTATCGTTTTTATGCAAAAACGACCATTCGTAACCTTTGTGAGTGGCGGTCAGACCCACACTAGCATACTTGTATCATTTACTTCTAAATCAAGTTTATTCGGATATATATTTATTTATTGTGTATTGAATTGGTGATAAATAATAAAAATGTCTTTTCTCACTTAACATTTTTTCAAAATTGTGAAATGGAAAAAAATCACTAATAAATTCTTTTTTCTGGTCAGCAAAAGAATTATTGCTTGCCTCTCATGTTGGTTACATGCAAGGAACTGAAAATCTATTGGGATTTTTAATAATACACTAACATTTACTTTACTTATTTTACTTTTTATAGAATGATATGGGCATCGGAGCTTCAAAAGAACGAACTTTTGGCTTAAGCAATGAGGTATTGTAATGTTTCAATGTGAAGTATATATACATTTGAGTTTGTATATTTGAAATTGTCCTAAAATGTAGGACATTTAAAAAGATTTGATTCCATTTCCATGAAAGTTTTCTCCGGATATACAGCTTTCAGTAAATTGATTACGACTTGTGTCACTCTCACCGACCTCACTGATTCAGTCACAACCGTGAAATATTGGTGAAGGACAAGGCTTCTAGGAAATAAAACACTGATATTTGATTGTTCTAAATTAACAGTCAGTACCCTGACTACGTACTATGATGTAAGGCTTCATTTCATTGTTACTGATATTAATACCACTCTCTATCTGACAATGATCACTCAGAACCATCTACTGTACTCTCCAAAACTACTGGATCTGGAGCATGGTACGATCAGACACAGAGATAAGGAGCTAGTGGAGGAGAACAAGGAGGAGGAGGTCAGACAGGGATACTTCTACCATGCTCAACTTACTGACTGGGCAGATGGTAAGTGTGGCAGTTAGTGTGGCAGTTAGTGTGGCAGTTAGTGCGGCAGTAAGTGTGGCAGTTAGTGTGGCAGTCAGTGTGGCAGTTAGTGTGGCAGTTAGTGTGGCAGTTAGTGTGGCAGTTAGTGTGGCAGTTAGTGTTGCAGTTAGTGTGGCAGTTAGTGTGGTAGTTAGTGTGGCAGTTAGTGTGGCAGTTAGTGTGCCAGTTAGTGTGGCAGTTAGTGTGGCAGTTAGTGTGGCAGTTAGTGTGGTAGTTAGTGTGGTAGTTAGTGTGGCAGTTAGTGTGGCAGTTAGTGTGGCAGTTAGTGTGGCAGTTAGTGTGTCAGTTAGTGTGGCAGTTAGTGTGGCAGTTAGTGTGGCAGTTAGTGTGGCAGTTAGTGTGGCAGTTAGTGTGGCAGTCAGTGCGGCAGTTAGTGTGGTAGTTAGTGTGGCAGTTAGTGTGGCAGTTAGTGTGGTAGTTAGTGTGGCAGTTAGTGTGGCAGTTAGTGTGGCAGTTAGTGTGGTAGTTAGTGTGGCAGTTAGTGTGGCAGTTAGTGTGGCAGTTAGTGTGGCAGTTAGTGTGGCAGTTAGTGTGGCAGTTAGTGTGGTAGTTAGTGTGGCAGTTAGTGTGGCAGTTAGTGTGGCAGTTAGTGTGGTAGTTAGTGTGGCAGTTAGTGTGGCAGTCAGTGTGGCAGTTAGTGTGGCAGTTAGTGTGGCAGTTAGTGTGGCAGTTAGTGTGGCAGTTAGTGTGGCAGTTAGTGTGGCAGTTAGTGTGGCAGTCAGTGTGGCAGTTAGTGTGGCAGTTAGTGTGGCAGTTAGTGTGGCAGTTAGTGTGGTAGTAAGTGTGGCAGTTAGTGTGGCAGTTAGTGTGGCAGTTAGTGTGGCAGTTAGTGTGGTAATTAGTGTGGTAGTTAGTGTGGCAGTTAGTGTGGTAGTTAGTGTGGCAGTTAGTGTGGCAGTTAGTGTGGCAGTTAGTGTGGCAGTAAGTGTGGTAGTTAGTGTGGCAGTTAGTGTGGCAGTTAGTGTGGCAGTTAGTGTGGCAGTTAGTGTGGCAGTTAGTGTGGTAGTTAGTGTGGCAGTTAGTGTGGCAGTTAGTGTGGCAGTTAGTGTGGCAGTTAGTGTGGCAGTTAGTGTGGCAGTTAGTGTGGTAGTTAGTGTGGCAGTTAGTGTGGCAGTTAGTGTGGTAGTTAGTGTGGCAGTTAGTGTGGCAGTTAGTGTGGCAGTTAGTGTGGCAGTTAGTGTGGCAGTTAGTGTGGCAGTTAGTGTGGCAGTTAGTGTGGCAGTTAGTGTGGTAGTTAGTGCGGCAGTTAGTGTGGCAGTCAGTGTGGCAGTTAGTGTGGCAGTTAGTGTGGCAGTTAGTGTGGCAGTTAGTGTGGCAGTTAGTGTGGCAGTTAGTGTGGCAGTTATTGTGGCAGTTAGTGTGGCAGTCAGTGTGGCAGTTAGTGTGGCAGTTAGTGTGGCAGTTAGTGTGGCAGTTAGTGTGGCAATTAGTGTGACAGTTAGTGTGGCAGATAGTGTGGCAGTTAGTGTGGTAGTCAGTGTGGCAGTCAGTGTGGCAGTTAGTGTGGCAGTTAGTGTGGTAGTTAGTGTGGTAGTTAGTGTGGCAATTAGTGTGGCAGTTAGTGTGGCAGTTAGTGTGGCAGCTAGTGTGGCAGTTAGTGTGGCAGTTAGTGTGGTAGTTAGTGTGGCAGTTAGTGTGGCAGTTAGTGTGGCAGTCAGTGTGGCAGTCAGTGTGGCAGTTAGTGTGGCAGTTAGTGTGGCAGTTAGTGTGGTAGTAAGTGTGGCAGTTAGTGTGGTAGTCAGTGTGGCAGTCAGTGTGGCAGTTAGTTTGGCAGTTAGTGTGGCAGTTAGTGTGGTAGTTAGTGTGGTAGTTAGTGTGGCAGTTAGTGTGGCAGTTAGTGTGTCAGTTAGTGTGGCAGTTAGTGTGGCAGTTAGTGTGGCAGTTAGTGTGGCAGTTAGTGTGACAGTTAGTGTGGCAGTTAGTGTGGCAGTTAGTGTGGCAGTTAGTGTGGCAGTTAGTGTGGCAATTAGTGTGGCAGTCAGTGTGGCAGTCAGTGTGGCAGTTAGTGTGGCAGTTAGTGTGGCAGTTAGTGTGGCAGTTAGTGTGGCAGTTAGTGTGGCAGTCAGTGTGGCAGTTAGTGTGGCAGTTAGTGTGGCAGTTAGTGTGGCAGTTAGTGTGGTAGTAAGTGTGGCAGTTAGTGTGGCAGTTAGTGTGGCAGTTAGTGTGGTAGTAAGTGTGGTAGTTAGTGTGATAGTTAGTGTGGCAATTAGTGTGGCAATTAGTGTGACAGTTAGTGTGGCAGTTAGTGTGGCAGTTAGTGTGGCAGTTAGTGTGGCAGTTAGTGTGACAGTTAGTGTGGCAGTTAGTGTGGCAGTTAGTGTGGCAGTTAGTGTGGCAGTTAGTGTGGCAGTTAGTGTGGCAGTTAGTGTGGCAGTCAGTGTGGCAGTTAGTGTGGCAGTTAGTGTGGCAGTTAGTGTGGCAGTTAGTGTGGCAGTTAGTGTGGCAGTCAGTGTGGCAGTCAGTGTGGCAGTTAGTGTGGCAGTTAGTGTGGTAGTCAGTGTGGCAGTCAGTGTGGCAGTTAATGTGGCAGTTAGTGTGGCAGTTAGTGTGGTAGTTAGTGTGGTAGTTAGTGTGGCAATTAGTGTGGCAGTTAGTGTGGCAGTTAGTGTGGCAGCTAGTGTGGCAGTTAGTGTGGCAGTCAGTGTGGCAGTTAGTGTGGCAGTTAGTGTGGCAGTTAGTGTGGCAGTTAGTGTGGTAGTAAGTGTGGCAGTTAGTGTGGTAGTCAGTGTGGCAGTCAGTGTGGCAGTTAGTGTGGCAGTTAGTGTGGCAGTTAGTGTGGTAGTTAGTGTGGTAGTTAGTGTGATAGTTAGTGTGGCAATTAGTGTGGCAGTTAGTGTGGCAGTTAGTGTGGCAGTTAGTGTGGCAGTTAGTGTGGCAGTTAGTGTGTCAGTTTGAGTGCCAGTTAAGGCCACAGGGGGGGGGGGGGGTCGAGGCCTCAAAAAATGCAAAAAAACATTATGCTTTGAATCAATATATATTTTTGTGGTGGATACTTTGCCACCACTCATTTGTCTGTAGCTATTTTACTTTTTTTTATAAATGAGGTTAACTAATTCTCATTTAACCTCATTTTTTTGATAAATCGATAATGAAGGGCAGAAATATTGATGCCATTACAACTGAAAACTACGATAAGCTTTGTTTTTATTGTTTTTGTGTTATTTCAGCAGTTAAACTTTGAAAATTATACAAATAAAGGCAAAATTCTCAAAAATCACATAACATAAAAAACATTTTTTTGCCTCTCCTGAAAACATCGAATTTTTGACTTCAAAATCTATCTTCTCCTAGAGTTTTTATCCATTTCACCTCAAATTTGGAACTTATGTTCCTGACATAAATTAAAAAGTTTGTTATGTAACGATTGTTGTAATTTTGCTCCTAACTCTTTTTATGAGGTTAACCATTTTAAATTTTGTAACCCGCACTCATGGTTAACCTCATATCTCAGCTTTGGAGCAAGATATCATAAATCGTTACATAACAAAAACTCAAAATACCTTGAAGAACATTGTTGCCACGTTACAAGGTTCTAAGTCATAAACTGAAAAAGAAGATAGATTTTGAACACGATTTCATTTAAAGTTTTCATTTACAATAGAATTACAGGTAAACCTCAAAATTCAACGCGCGATATCTTCAAATAGGAAACTTTGTTTTCGGTAAGGACAAAAGCATTTGAAAATTTAGATCGAGCTCTACAACATATCTCAAAATCTCAAAATCGACCTCGGACCCCCCCCCCCCTGTGGCCTTAACGTTATCTTTAATAATGGATAAATAAAAACAAATTTTCAACTATGCGACTTTTTTTTCTTTAATTTGATTGCTTGGTAAGAAACCAACTTATGTTTGTTTCAGAGAACTGTATAAAAGACTTTCAGAAGAAGATCATCGTAGAAAGTACGCAAACAGATCAGATGTTTTATGTTTACGCTAAAGGACTTGAGGTTTGGCATGTTTAAATTAAGTATATTGCTTGGTGCTTATTTCAAAACAACTAAAGGGATTATAATGAATTAAAATCCTGTAATTTACCATTGTTAATATAAAATTTAAACTCGACAGTGTTTTATCTGAACATCCCAGGAATGAACTTAAATATCACAAAGTACTTGAAAAGTTGAAACTTTTGCTTGAAACGGATATTTGTATTAATATTAAAACAAAAATATAATAACTGAATTGCAAACGATCTTATATTGTCAAAAATAGTATACATCGAACAATTAAAAAATCATGCATTATATATAAAACTATAAAATCATATAGAAAAATAATAGAATAGTTCAACAAGCTATATGCAACTGACAATGCTTGAGCAGGTGTCATTACACGTGACATGTCCCCAAGGTACTAATCCTCCCCTTGATGATCACATATAGCTATTATATCCTCGTCACAAGCCTGGTGACGTCACTACTCCTGGTGACGTCACGTGAGGGAGTGTGACGTCACACTCCCTCACGTGACATGTCCCCAAGGTACTAATCCTCCCCTTGGTGATCACATATAGCTACTATATCCTCGTCACAAGCCTGGTGACGTCACTACTCCTGGTGACGTCACGTGAGGGAGTGTGACGTCACCCTCCTTTACGTGACGTCACCCCAAGGTACTAATCCTCCCCTTGGTGATCACATATAGCTATTATATCCTCGTCACAAGCCCTCTTAGTACACACAACCGTCCCTCTCTGCGTACACCTACAAGTGTTACAATCATCTTTAAATGTGTCTCCTGCGCTGTACACCACTTCCTTGTAGTTACAGATAGTGACATTATCATCATCACAAGCCAGGCAGATAGCTGTCCCCTGCATAGTGCATAAACAAGTGTGGCAATCGTCATTAAACGTGTCCCCTGCGTTGTAAACTAATCCTTTGTGCTCACAAGAGACTACAAGTACATCATCATCATTAGCTACAGCACATGTAACAAATAGTGCTAAAATAAACATCTTCTTCATGTTGAATACCATGCTAGGGAGTTAAGTGGTAAAATAGTGGTAAAATAGTGGTAAAATAGTGGTAAAATAGTGGTAAAATAGGCTTTGGCAAAAAAACATGGGACGTTAAAATAATTGAAAAATCATGGGACGTTAAAATAATTGGCACAGCTTCTTTAAAAAGAAGAAGCAATAAAAGGGGTTTACAAAAACACTCTTGAGTATTGATGATAATGACGAAGAAAGGGAAGACATCCTTATATAATGTTATTAATGATGTTTTGGTTATTCGAGCTTTTCATTTAGAATTAAAACAAGATGGTCGTGTGTAAAACAACTTCCTCAGCATTTAACACAGCAGTTAACTAAAACAACAGATGGTTAGTGTGGCAGTTAGTGTGACGTCACACTCCCTCACGTGACGTCACCAGGCTTGAGACGTGTGTAAAACCTCAGCAGTTAAAACTAAGCCATAAAATTAAGAGGACTGTTTAACAAGTAACGTCGGAGAATGTGTTTACTTAAATTAGTAAGTAGGACACATGTTTCAGTCAGGTGGTTAAATTATTATCTCGTACGAGTTTTTAATTCCATTGTCCGTGGTTGTTTAGTCAGATACCATGGTTTAATGGTTAGTAATTACATAAATATGTTATGTTCATATAATGCATAACAACCAGTTCGACATCATTAGGTGAAATAAAATCCAATGGAATGAAAACTAAATGTTATCACCTTCAGAGTGAAACTACAGACCATGGAATAGTGAAAGTGAAACCGAAACCGAAAGGATTGGGATACAGATGGAGGGGAGACAGCGAACATCGCTACTTCCGACTTCGTCTTAGCAAGATAAGAGGTGAGTTATGATTTTGACGATAGCATCACTTGTGTCCGAAAACTGCAGGTATATCGATTAAGTGTAAATTCTGAGAGGAGCTCATTATCATGATTAGGGATGACCCTTTAAATAACAGCCTAAATTATGGGTTTTGAGGTACATCAACACAAAATTCTGAATTTAAGAAAAAGTTCAGACGATTGTCTATAGACCAGTTTTTGAATTTTGTAATTTTGATATTCAGAAGTAAAGTTACGACCCTCGAAAAATATTGATTTCATCATAAAATACACATAAAATTTCAAACACGCCAATAATTCTGACACCCTGCTGTAGACGCTGTTAAACACGACGTCATAACATAATAACCTACCAGATGTTTAGTATACATATCAGCGACAAGAGAAACGTTATTGTTGGTCGTGAGGAGAGTGAGGACTCCTCAAACTAAATTAAATTAATTCCTTCTGTAACGTCCTCAATAAATGTTATAGATTTTTAGTGTTTTAATGAGTTATATATAATATATGTGAATTGTGCTCCAAATTCGGACAAGAGTCGTCGATCTAAGGGGGGCAATTTTGGAGTCAAGTAAGAGTCACATATTACAATATTACATATTCATCATACTTACCGCATTCAGGCCCTTCACACTTTGTTTCTGTCTAGTTCTAATGTACCGTCACAATAATGAATTTAAAATATGTTGTCCTTTAAATATATCATATATAATATTATGTTTACCATTTGACGTGAGAGATTAAAATGTTTGAATTATTTGTAAGGCGATTGCTTTCTTAAAATGAAGTCTGACGATAATTTGCTCTACAGATAATGAGGAAAGTGACAGTGAGTCAGAGGAACTCCAGGGATACGACACTGTGTACAGGTACTGTTTCTATAGCAACTGGGTTACTCACATTCACAGCTATCACTTATTTAGAGGGAACACCATTTTCGGTCACAAATAAAATGAAGAGTTCGTGTAGCGCGCATAAACTTGTTTATGATACAAGTTTCTGTCTCTTTCATTCAGTCTAGTGTTTCGGAGACGCGCGTTTAAGACCCTCGCTGCATGTCTTTGATTGACTGGCAGTATTATTACTGCCTATTACTTACTATAATATTGCCGCCTATTAATTACTGTATTATATATATACTGATATTAGATATTATTATCGTCTATTAACGATTTTAAAATATTATTTGGTTCTTGCAACCTCGTTTGATCTACAGATCCGAGTATGTTACTCTATGCTCTGGTCATCTGTATCAGATTACTGTGGGCTCTTTTCCATATTCCGGACCTTTATACTAACAAATAAGTGATGCCCCCTTCTTTTCAGGATACACCCGAAAGAGGATATGTTCGCTGAATCGCTCTCATTTATTTTGTCTCTAAAACTACTCATTCCTGAAGACAGAATCCATATAATCTACAAGACTGGCAAGCTGGAGTGAGTTATCCAATATCCACTTTACTTCTCATACCTTATCTCTTGATAGTGGTTTTAGTTGTCAATCCATTATATTGTTTATAGACTCTAGAGCTGTCAGCTTCAATTCCAAATTAATTGCCATAAGAATGCAGATACACATAAAACTAATACATTATTCAATGCTACAGTTCTTAATTGTAAATTAATATAATACTAAATTTTTCAGGCCAAGCAAAAACTTGAAGGAACTGTCACCAAACTATTTCAACTCAAAGCTGGAACTTAAAATGTTAACTGATGTTGAAATAGTGAAGAATAATTATGATACCGACGAAATCCCTCCTAAATCACCAATACCGGGACCTGCTTTTGAAACTAATAGTAGTGAAAGCAAGACCATCGTAGCTTCTCCAACCCGCGACATCACATCTCCAAACCGCGACATCACCTCTCCAAACCGCGATATCACCTCTCCAACCCGCGACATCACATCTCCAACCCGCGACATCACATCTCCAACCCGCGACATCACATCTCCAACCCGCGACACCATATCTCCAACCCGTGATGTCTCATCTCCCGTCCGTGATGTCTCATCTCCAGTCCATGATGTCTCATCTCCAGTTCGTGATGTCTCATCTCCAGTCCGTGATGTCTCATCTCCAGTCCGTTATGTCACGTCTCCAGTCCGTGATGTCTCATCTCCAGTCCGTGATGTAACGTCTCCAGTCCGTGATGTAACATCTTCAGTCCGTTATGTAACATCTCCAGTCCGTGATGTCCCATCTCCAGTCCGTGATGTCTCATCTCCAGTCCGTTATGTAACATCTCCAGTCCGTGATGTCCCATCTCCAGTCCGTGATGTCTCATCTCCAGTCCGTGATGTCTCATCTCCAGTCCGTGATGTCTCATCTCCAGTCCGTGATGTCTCATCTCCAGTCCGTGATGTCTCATCTCCAGTCCGTGATGTAACGTCTCCAGTCCGTGATGTCTCATCTCCAGTCCGTGATGTAACGTCTTCAGTCCGTGATGTCTCATCTCCAGTTCGTGAAGTCTCATCTCCAGTCCGTGATGTCTCATCTCCAGTCCGTGATGTAACGTCTCCAGTCCGCGATGTCTCATCTCCAGTCCGTGATGTAACGTCTCCAGTCCGTGATTTAATGTCTCCAGTCCGTGATGTCTCATCTCCAGTTCGTGATGTCTCATCTCCAGTCCGTGATGTCTCATCTCCAGTCCGTGATGTAACGTCTCCAGTCCGTGATGTCTCATCTCCAGTCCGTGATGTAACATCTCCAGTCCGTGATGTCTCATCTCCAGTCCGTGATGTCTCATCTCCAGTCCGTGATGTCTCATCTCTAGTCCGTGATGTCTCATCTCCAGTCCGTGATGTCTCATCTCCAGTCCGTGATGTCTCATCTCCAGTCCGTGATGTCTCATCTCCAGTCCGTTATGTAACATCTCCAGTCCGTGATGTCCCATCTCCAGTCCGTGATGTCTCATCTCCAGTCCGTGATGTCCCATCTCCAGTCCGTGATGTCTCATCTCCAGTCCGTGATGTCTCATCTCCAGTCCGTGATGTCTCATCTCCAGTCCGTGATGTCTCATCTCCAGTCCGTGATGTCTCATCTCCAGTCCGTGATGTCTCATCTCCAGTCCGTGATGTCTCATCTCCAGTCCGTGATGTCCCATCTCCAGTCCGTGATGTCTCATCTCTAGTCCGTGATGTCTCATCTCCAGTCCGTGATGTCTCATCTCCAGTCCGTGATGTCTCATCTCCAGTCCGTGATGTCTCATCTCCAGTCCGTGATGTCTCATCTCCAGTCCGTGATGTCTCATCTCCAGTCCGTAATGTCACGGCGAGTGCCAACAGTTTTGGTGAACTCCCCGGTGCCATCGAAGATTATAAATAGATAACACAAGAGAATACATGATTGCACTAGAAAATACATGATTGCTAGAATTCCATTTTATCAATTGCGGAATTTGTACACAATTACATTTACAATATTATGTACATGGTACAGTATGAGTATATAATCTTTGTAAAATCCGGATTGGAGTATTGTTTATGAGTCGCATGGTTGTAATGTATTCTGTGTAAAATTATAATTATCCCGGTTACTGCGACAAATAAAAATTTAACGGGTGATACTCGTAAAATATCTGTTCCATATATTGGACCGTCGACGAGTCCAACTCGGCGCGCGTCCTGGTAGGTTGTTAACCTACAAATAAAAATGCTCTTATTAGGAAAAAGGAGTTTACTCGACGTTTCAATGTAACTACATCGTATTCATGATCTCAAATTATTTGTTATATAGTAGTGTTGAAAGTATTAAAACACTTTCAACACTATATATTTAATTAATTTAAACTATATTTGTTTACTGGGCCGCGCTCAGTCTGTCATTCCGCCTAATCTTTATGTTTATGAACATGATTGCCTGAGGTCCCCAGGTAAGTCGCAGTTACCGGGATTTTTTTAAATTTCATTTTTTCAAACAATATACACATAATATAGCAATGGCCCTATAAGTATATAAAAATTCTATAAAAATGTAAAATTGTAATAAAATATAAAATCCACAAATTGTGTAAAATGGCCACGGGCCTAAATATTACATATCAATCAATTACAATTCATTAACATTACCAATATTAAAAACTTTCCAAAATATCTAAGAAAGTATTCTCTAGCCAAATGGCTCAATATTTAAATCTAAATCTTCAATATTGTCTGGTTTATGTCACAACTTGGGCCCTCTGTCCCCCCTTATCGAAATAACTGTTGTCTTTAATACCTCAAAACGCAAGCGCTTTCTAAGAATAAGATATGTAACTGAGTCTGAATATCGCTGACCCGTTGAAGATTCCATCTTTTGTGCAAGCTTTTTAATCAAGCGTTGCGCTTCGACTCCCATGCCTCCTGTTGTGGAGAAAACTAAAGGTGTAAAGGAAGCTTTTTCCACTTCTAGGATCCTTCCATTATAACATAATAGTATTATATATTGTAACCGGTATAAATATAATTCTACACAGAATATATACGTTATCAGACCTTATTTGGACGGACATTAAATGAACGGACATAATTATGAACGGACATTAATATGAACGCTAGAACTAGAAGGCATTCAAAACCATCAAAAATCCGAATTTTTTAAATTATTTTGACTTTTTTTATTTCAGAAAATGATTTTTAAATCCATTTTTATACAGTAAGTAAGAATAGCAGTCGTTAAGCAGTAAAAATGTTAAGATACAATTGATATGTGTACATGATCAGTGTCTAATATCACATATCATCTTCATCAAATGGGTTTTCGTGCATGAAATAGTCCATGCTTAAAGCATTAGTGATTTCTAGCTTTATGGAAACCTTTTTTATCAAACTTCCCCGGTCGTGCATTTCAGTGTTAACTTTTACAAGCCATTCGGCGTGAAGTGGTTTTATCTTAGACAACTTTAGGTTAACCTTAATCACGTGGAGTTTTCCTAGCACTGTTTCATTACCTCCCCTGAGTAATATGAACTATAACAACGTCGGACAATGTCCTTGGCAACACGATTTACCGTAATATCTAGAGGCTGGAAAAAATTTGTCATGTTGGCGGGGACTAACTCATGAACTATGTTGTTGAGTGCCATAATTCCGTTGACTTTTTCCGCCAAGTGACCCTTGAAAACATCATATACTAGTAGAGTTTTCTGTGCCTCTGGCAGACCAAGGAGAACCTTTCCTTCGTTAACTTAAGGCACAATAAAGTTCTCATAGTTGTCATATTCTGGACAAAAAGTTCAAAGTGGAAAAATGTTTGAAAAAAATTCAACGGACTTTAACTTGGACGGACCTTAAATTAACGGACTTTATTTGAACGGACATTAAGATGAACGTAATGGCCTCCAGCGTTCAATTAATTTCCGTCCAAAGGTATATAAATATAATCTTTATGTAATCCCATAAATTTTCATATTAACTATAGATATATTAATTATAGTTTTACTTTTAGAGATACGCCACAAGTTTCCTGGAGTTGTATGTAGAATAATTTTGATTTTCAACACGTGATTCAATTGTACTCATAAGTTAGTTTGTGAATCGTTGACTGTTTCCAAATTTAGAATCATCAATTATACTTATAGATTACTAATATACTTGACGGATGTTACTCGTCTAAATTTCTTCGTAGTAGCGCGCGCCGCTTTCTTCTCGGGCCAGATCATTAACAATGGTCAATAATATACTTATAGATTGGTGACCATGTCGATGGAAAATATTAGTAGTAGCGTATCTTTTTAAATCAAATTTTGTTTGTAATTTATTTTGCATGGGCTGTCAGGGATTGTTCACGTAAGCAGCCGAGGGGGAGGTTGTTTGGAAAATGGAAATGCTGACCGTGACGGTTGGGGTAGCCAAAAACTTGATGACGTAATATGTGAAAGATCCCTTTGTTATAAACTCTATTTTTCAAAACGTAATTTTAGTAGTTTTGGGGCGTTTCTACTAGTAGTAGTACTGATGTCAGATAGAATTATCATAGCATGTTCATTGTTCTATAATTAGAATTGACTATTGATTCACGATGTCCATGTCAATCCTTCGCATCTCGCCGATCTGCATATGTGGTTACGAGAAGATGCGCGGCGAGGCCCAGTTAGTAGAGCATCGCGCTAGTACAAAATTGACCATTGATTATTTATTTTATCAATAAATATATAATATTGTGTAATCCAAATCTTTTCCCTAGTGACAAAATAAAAGAGTCGTAACTTGTTATTCACAACGAAATTCAATTTCAGGCGAAAAAAATTACAATATCTCAGCTTTGAATCGCAAAATAAAAATACCGTCATGACGGTATCAGCCACTGTTCTCGTATCACTATCAGCCACTGTGAAACCTTATTCACCTTACCTGGGGACCCCAGGCTATTATGTTCATAAACATAATTTTAAGATTCGAAGCAAGCATTGTTTTTAATATCAAATTTAAATGATCGCATCACAATTTCTTTAAGGCTTGAATGAATAGAGTCACCAATCACGTTGCAGTGTCATATACTACAGTGAAAATATCTGCGTATGCTGATACAGGTGGATCTTGTTGTAATTCAACATGTTCATTATTATTCGCATCCTTATCCTGAGCCCCAGGTTCCGCTTCATAGTTATTATCCTGGGCAGTTTCCTCATTTAAATCAGTTCCAACTTTAGTGGCTCTTAAATGAAAAGGAAAGTGTTTGTTGCCGTGAGCAGGTCTGAAGATGAAGAGAAGGTAGCTGTAGCTGAGAATCCAGACCATCTGCTGCGCTATTGTCACCGTCTTCATCCTCTCCCAATCCTCCAAATACTTGTTAGCTATCAGAATAAGGAGCGGGATTGCCAACAGCCAAACACTGTAAAAGTATCCTAACGCAATATAGAACGGTATCTTCCTCCGAAACTTGGCGCCCGTGTAAACACAGTTACAAATAAAGTAGACCCAGGCAGGAAAGTAGATAACGGTGAGGAATATGCCCGGAGGAGACTGGTAGGTGTAGAGCACAGCAGCTGGGTCGAACACATTCCACTCCCATATCAACGAAGCGAACATGAACAGAGAGAACATTCCAGTAAAGGATACAAGTGCCCCGAAACCGCAGACTGTCAGAGCAGACATAACGATAGTGTAACCACTAGCAAATGAGAGCAGCAGACCCAGGAATATACAGGTGGATAGAACTTCAAATACTTGACCAAACCGATAGATAGTGGTGGGGGCGTGACCTCTCACTCCGTAAATGCTATGGTAAAATACTGTTAAGACACACCGACATAAGTAAAGGAAGACCGAGCATTGGAAGAGCTTGAAAGTTCCGTGATATAGTCGTCTTTTAACGAGAAGATTAGCGTACAGGGAGGTAATCACAAAGATGAAGATCATTAGAACCGTCACCACGAAGTTGGTTTCTGTAATGCCAATCTCGTCGGCAGAGAAGTGTTTATCGGTAAAGTGATCACCGTTTGTAAAAGTCAGGGTGTAGTTTACTGCTCGGATGTTAATCCGGGACTCTGGCCGACAGCTAGAGATGGCAACGTACCACCATCTAGCCCTCATTCCCTCGAGAAACCTGCTTCCATCACACCTGAAAAAGTTGTCGTCAAAAACTCCTCCTATTTATGATTAATTCCGCTTTATTTCCACAATGAACACAGCTAGAGAAGGAGGTTGTGTGGTACTCACTTGCAAATCTTCTCCGTTTTCTGGTAAGAACAGGCTCCCAACATAGATACGAGTTGTATTCTCCCTCTGGCTTTTCCCACTCTCTGTTCACAACTCAGGTTGGACTTGTACACACTGGCCCACTGCTCCGGGCTGTCGTAATACAAGGCCAGTGTTAGATCTGTGCCACAGCTCTCTGCTTCATAATCAACCTGGGGGTCTTTAGTGATCACTGTCGAACTCGGGTAAACAAGATTTTCCAGTTATTGATATAAATGTTAAACGTGATACTAACACGAGATTAAAAGAAGAACTATACATACTTTGAAGCGAAACTTTCGTTTGTCTGATGTTGAACTGGCACCAACACCACCTTTGTAGCAGAACCGGGATATGAACTGCCAGTTCTGCAAATTGGACAAGGTTCCCGTGTCCACTTTTGCAGTCGTGTGGGATAGAAGAGGAAGGATGTAGATTAAAAACAGCATCCTGATTCAAATAGAGTGGGTTTTAAATCGAGATAAAAATAAAAAACATAAACATCGGTTCATTTGTTCAAACAAAGTTTTATAATCGGTAAAATGTTGCTCTAAGGTTAAGTTCTTGCCATAACTTTAAATTGAAAACAGGAGGTAGGATTGGGCTGCTCAGATGTTCTACACCTATTTCAGGGGACTATTTCAGGGGACTATTTCAGGGGACTGTTTCAGGGGACTATTTCAGGGGACTATTTCAGGGGACTGTTTCAGGGGACTATTTCAGGGGACTATTTCAGGGGACTATTTCAGGGACTATTTCAGGGACTATTTCTAAGTTAGTTAATAAAAACTGTGGGTTTTGAGATGGCTGCATATACCAAAAAAACTGGAACCAAAATGTAAAGAAAGTTGAATCCTTCATCAAATCATAACTTGCATGCATCGATAGCAAAATATTCAGATCTCAATAGTGATATTACATTGGGCATTGATTAATTGGGCCTCGTTTGAGCTAACTCGGTAAGTAAGGGTTATTGTTAAGAAAGACTACAGACAATCATTGGAACCACAATGTTTACTGGTTGTGTTGTGATCTCTTAGCCCCATCAGTGTCAGACATGACGTAATCAGATCTGATACTGTGATACTGATACTGGGCCCCTACTCCGCTACTCCCCCCCCCCCCCCCCCCCCCCAGCTTTCTACTCGCTTTATAAAGTCCCAGAGTGTACAAGACTCCCGGTAAATGGGAGTATAACTGTAAATGACTTATTGTGGATATAGTTATGAACTAAAACACTAATGCAGAATGCAGATCGGCTACATAATGCACATGGAAATAAAAATGCACGAAAAGCGCTAAAAGTAATCTCAGTAATGATATTATAAATACTCCTCCCCCTATATTCTAGAATGATCTTCCTATTCCCTATCTAGCACTGTCAGTGCAAATCTTACTATATATAAAGATATATATATATCTGTGCCATTTTACTGACACCACGGCATCAACTTTAACGCGACTTTCCGCAAAAACCGTAAAAGATATACAACTGAAACTTTTTTTACTGGGTCAAATGTTTTTATGCTTTTCAAATCAGCATGAAAAAATTAAAAATTGGCCAAGGAATAGGAGTTTTAGAGCCCAAAATTTGGACCCCCAAGTGGTGTCAAAAACGCGAATTAAATAGGTAATAATTATTTTAGTCTCTTGAGTCTTGACACCATTTTAGGGTTATACGGGTTCCTGCTAGTTAATATAAACTGCAGGTGTATTTCTTATTATAATGACAGTGGGGAGGAAAATGGTGGATTCCTGAAATTGGTTGTTTTCAAGCTTGATTGTAACTTTCCTCCATTTGTAAAATGCTCCTCCAACTCCAAGTTTAGATCAAACATCTTCGGAAAATTGACGTAATAATGACCAGTTGTAATCGGGCCTTCCGTTATTTCTAGCAAAGCAGAGAATTAAAATGACAGTTTTACTCGTCATTCAAACAATCGGGGTGAAGAATTTTAACGTTAAATAACCTTACATGGGCAAATTGGATTTTATCTTGACACATTTTAATTGAATCAAATGCGACACTCTGCTATAAGCATTTTCCAATAATGATCAGTTTATAAAAACCTTGTCAGTAACACTATAAATTCTCTAAGATAACAGCAATCTTCAAGTGGAGGAATCGGGTTAATATTATTATTACTATTAGTAAGGAACATTAGATTCAGAAGTTTTGAGAACTCTCTTATTTTTAATTATAAAAACTCTTTACTTTATTTATATGTATCTTACTTTTTATTATTTCTAATCTGATAGGTCTAACCATCACTTTCTAGAGGTTCCCGGCTTAAAAAACTATATTTTCTCACAAAAAAAATAGGTAACATTTTATTTTTCATTAAAAAAAAAGGATAAAAAACGACTACATCAGCTTAAAGATTTCATAAAAAATAATATTAATTTACGACAAAGTTACAGATATTGCCAGTAGTTTGGTCAGTGTCCAACAGCAAACTGCGAGAACACATGACGCTTTATATTTTATTACTGTCGCAAACACCATTGCCCTGTACACTCAAAAATCGAGCAAATGTAAAGATGTAGCATACTATGATATTATGATACTATTATAGTTTATTATGATTATATACTATATAGGAACAATGAACATAGTGTGAAATCATTTGGGCTGGAGGGCACTAAACCCTGTTCAGGTGTACAGGCTCCTAAAACAAGGCGTCAGGGAAGCCAACGATATTAAACCTACTAGAGTACTAGTAGTAGTCAGCAGTTGCTACATTTGTATTGGCGGGCTCACTTCCTTACCCGTTAGCTTGTTTGGTATAATTTAGCTGATTCGAGTGAGGGGTGTCAAACTGTTTCATAACTGTCTCGCGCTACTAAACGGTTACCCAAACGATAAACATCAAGAGTTAACTTAAAGCATGTGGCAAGCGATTTTACACGGTATCACTGAATCACTCGCCGAGGATTTTTAATTTTTTACAGACAAGGGCCCTGAGTATAAATTAATGACAAAATTACAAATTTATCAAATTTATTGAGGACGTCACACTTACAGAAGGAATTGATTTAGTATAGTCCGAGGAGGGGAATTGGACACGAAAAAGGGTGGACACCAGGGGGTGGACAAGAGGGGGTGGACACCAGGGGAACTGGACACGAGGGGATGGACACGAGGGGATGGACACGAGTGGATGGACACGAGGGGGTGGACACGAGGGGGTGGACACCATGGGGTGGACAAGAGGGGGTGGACACCAGGGGAACTGAACAGTGAACACGAGGGCAGATCACATGACTCACTGACACTTTAAAATGGCCGAACCAAACACCGTCATAAATGATGAACTAGTAATAAACTTGCAAACAATTAGTTTATAAGCTATTTCTACTCGTAACATTGTCAGGAGAACTTCTTGTTCACTCCACGCTTAGTTAGTCCGGTTCATGAAACAGTGGGTGTTCCAGCTGGACGGAGGAAGTTTGGCTCGTCGCCAAGTGGTCAGTAAGTATCCAGGTCTCTCGGTATCTGATCCAGGATTCTGAAGAAAGCTTCGTTAACGTCCTCAGTGTAGATGTAGGTTAGAAGAAGGATTCAGATTCCTGTAGAGTGTTGGGGTGTCGGGGTGTAATTCTTCTGACCAGATCTGTTTGGAAGTGGAGTCGGAACTAAATAATAAAATACTTCTATCAGCTATCCGCAACTTCAGTCTTATATAGTATATATATATACTCTGTTGTGCTGGCGCAACGAGCGAGACTCTACTTCGCTATGGGGTGGTCAGAAGATGTGATGGCCCCGTCAAGTCTTGACGAAACTCAACATAGGTCACATAGGTAGGTACTGTATATTATCTTGAAGTAAAGTCTTATCAGACGTAATTATATTATTGGATACGGCTATATGTTAGCAACTAAAAGTAAAAGATATTAATTAATGTGTATAAAAGTAGGTTGACGCCTTTAAACAAAAGTTAAAATGAAACTGTGTGATGTGGTTAGTTAATTGAGTAGAGGTCGAATACTGAGTACTGACAAGTTCATTATTTATGACTGTGTTTGGTTCCACCCTGGTGTCCATGTTTATGTTAGAGTGAGTCATGTGATTTGTGTTTATCTTGTCTCATACAATATGAGAGTAACATGTATTGATTTATTTTTTGACGCCGTTCCCCCGTGTTTTAAGTTTAAAATATAAACTTCTGAGGAAAGGGTTTTCATTGGTAAAATTGTATGAAAAGGTAGCATTTATTTAAGAGAATAGAAGTTTCATTTGATCCAAATCCACAGTGTTTAATTTAACCCACTTTGTTTCTTTTAAAAAAAATCATTGGTGTCTCTAGAATTAACATGTAATTATACTATTCCAGGTAAACATTTATTCAAACGAACGCCAGAATACACTGAACAAATAATCGGTGGATATATTCCATTAAATGTTTCCGTTTAAATCATGGATTTGAATTTATTCTGGCTAAAATTGGAAAATAACTAGTGTGCTGCAGATTGTCAATTAATGACTGGCTTGTGACAGGAATGTCACTGTCTGGTCACGAGGGGAGTTTAGAGTATATTTTAATCGTTGCTTCAGATGTCGTATATAGATGTGGTTATCGAGAAAACATTGCATATTTTCAAGGGCTTTCTTTCCTTGAGAAATTCAATGCAAATTGCAATAAAAAGTTAGTTCCAGTTCTTAGAATTAGTGTGGCCAGAACCATTTAGAATATATAATTTTAAATAATATTATAACGGAGTATGTATCGAGAAAATGTCCGTAATAGTACCCATGATAGATTACAATGATTTAGAATGCTTGATTTTAGGCCTACATATTGCCGATTTACCGCGGCCCGATTTACCGCGGCCTTTTCCTTTCTCCCAAACTCCGCGGTAAATTGGGGTATTACTATAGTTTTACTAGTTAAAAAAAAGAAGAATGTATCTGTCCTTCTTCTGAAAAAGACGAAACATGATGAACCGGGATGATTTTTATACCTGAAGATCAGTACAAAGCGTCTCTAGTCAAATAACGCTCACAACAATAATCCTAGAATTAAGGTGTATACTTTCAAATTATCAAGAAATATCATATCAAATTCAAGAAATATCATATCAAATTATCAAGAAATTAAAGAAATCAAATTAATTAAATTCCAAGAAGTAAATTACCTGATTAGGCAAGCTCGAACACCAAAAAACTATTACCACTTTACCAGACATCAGTTGAAATTAAATGGTTTCAGAAATTAAAATGGTTAAAGAAATTAAAATGAGCCTTGTCTTCATGTCCTAATGCATGATGTTTAGCATACGTTTCACTGTCAAATGAACTTATGTGAACTGTATATAATGTGATACTGTCCTGCCAGTAATTCCGAAAAGTTAATAGGGCAAGCTCTAATACCAAAGAATTACAACCAGTTGAAATATTAAAAACACGGCCAAAGTGTAATATGAGACACAAATGCAAGCGAAAGATAAAAGAATTCCGAATATTAGCTCAAGTTGTATTTGTCAGTAAACGAATACTGAATAGCTACACGTTTCAGCGTGTGTCCTGCGAGACTTTAACGTCCATTTAATCGATATGTTCCTTCTTAAAATCTCTTGACGTATTAACTATTAAGTTGACAAGTTAATCAATATGGAATCAAGCTCATGCTGGAAGAGCAATTTATAAATGTATAAACTAATTGTTAACGTGCTACACCGTAGTTAAGGAGGAGAAAAATAATGATCAAGGTAGCTATAGGTGGCTTACGTACAGCATAATTCAATTAAATTGGGAGTTGTTCCCATAGCAACATATTAATGTAGCATTCCTACTATATACTCTACTTACTGGGGTAATAATGAGGAGGAGGAGAAGGAGGAGGAGGAGGAGAAGGAGGAGGAGGAGAAGGAGGAGGAGGAGGAGGAGGAGGAGGAGGGGGGGAGGAGGAGGAGGAGGAGGAAGAGGAGGAGGAGGGGGAGGAGGAGGAGGAGGAGGAGGAGGAGGAGGAGGAGGAGGAGGAGGAGGAGGAGGAGGAGGAGGAGGAGGAGGAGGAGGAGGAGGAGGAGGAGGAGGAGGAGGAGGAGGAGGAGGAGGA